GTAAATATCCAGTTTGCTGGGTGCCATAGCTTAGACTCCAATAGTACAATCTGCCCAAAAAATAGCTGCTCACCGGTCTTTAAAAAACTCCAATGCTTTAATCAATTCAAGTTAAAATGAGAAACCAAAGTTTCAGTCCCCGCTCGGGACTTTCCTCAGGGTAACAAAACAACATAAAAAACATCAAATACATGACAATATATAGCATAAATGTAATTGAATTAAACTTACCCAGGTGCAGTGTGCTCATGCTGATCGTGATCCGGTGCACATCCGGGTATGCGCGCGCATACGTGAATAAGCTCCGCCCTCTTACATGCACGTGATACGTGCCGATTGCATCAGATTGTGTATAAGGTTGCTTAGCAACCATTGATGCCGTGCCACGGTAAGGTTATATATGATATAATGAACTGCAGTGAGAAATATAGGACGAATAATATATGTGCCCATAAAGTGCTTGTAGTGAAATAAAGTGCTTAGAGTGAGACACGTACTGAAATGTAGTGGACAGAAAGTGCCTACTGTACAAAATATTTCAAAGGATACTGTCCATAATATAAAGTGCAAAGAAGATATCTATGTGCAAATAAATTGCAAATATGTAGTGCGTATAAAAAAAAACCTTGATATATATGAGCTAATAATGTCAATTCAATACATGACCGTCTATGTATAGCAAATAGATATACTACTAAATTTCAAGTTGCACTATTCACATAAAAATACTGTAATAATGCACAATAATAAAATAACACACATATATAGTACAAGCTGATGAGATCAGATAAATGAATAATATGGGATGTTTTCATTAAGCCCTTTGGGTGACACCATGCCCAACTGATATATCCAAAAGGCCTCCTTTTGGAGCAGCATCCTGCCTCTATTACCACCCCTCTTAGGAGAGGGAATGTGGTCAATACCCACAAATTTGAGGGAGGATAATGGATGCCCCATCTCCAAAAAATGTTTGGCTACTGGTTTATCAGATTGGCCATCACGGTAGGCCAACCTGATGCTAGACCGGTGGCCTCGGATTCGCTCACATATGGGGGTCTCCGTCTTCCCCACATAATACAATTCACAAGGACACATAAGTTTGTAAATGACGTAGGGAGTTTTGCATGTGATAGTGTGCCTAATATCGTATATTTTGTTTGTATGGGGATAATTTAATTTTTTGGACGGGATCATATGTCCACAGGTGACACATCCAAGACATGGTATAAATCTCCGTATATTGCTTTTTGAGATCTTAGTGTAGCTTTCCACTGGATCTGTGTGTACCAGCATGTCACGAAGGCTTCTATTCCTTCTGTAGCAAATCATTGGGGGTTCCTTAAAATTTTTTGGAAGTGAGTCATCCGTAGATATCATCTTCCAATTATTTTTACCTTGTTAGCAGAGTTGTGGAATGTCATAGGAAACACCATACGATGTGTAGAGTCAGCCTTAGCCTGATTGGGGGCTGTTTTGGCCTGGATAAGTGCCTCTTTTAATACTCAAGCATCATATCCTCTATTCACAAATTTTTGGGTCATTGATTCCAGTTGTAACTCGGCTTTAGAATTGTTACGTATAACCCTCTGAAATTGTGCCTTTGGGATGGATTTTTTTCAAAGCCATTGGGTGGGCACTCTGGGCATGCAACAAGGTATTACGATCTGTTGGTTTAGAGAACAATGTGTGTTCAATTCCGTTGGATCCATATGATAATTCCAAATCAAGATATTGGTAATATCTTTACTGATATTAGAAGTGAACTTGATCGGTGTGGCCAGCTGGTTCAATGCATCAGCCATCTGTTGTGCCTCTTCTGGTGTGCCCTTCCAAATTATCAAGAGGTCGTCTATGTAGCGATAATAACCTATGATCCATCTTGCATATGGCGTGAGTATGTATTGTATCTCATAGATATACATATATGCATTAGCATATATTGGAGCTACTGCAGACCCCATGGAAGTACCTGCCACCTGAAGGTACCATTGTTCCTCAAATCTGAAATAGTTATTATAGAGGATTAATGATAGTAGCTCCAATACAAACTCAATTGGGGGACCTTGATATAAAGGAGAATTACATAATACTTGGCGCATAGCTTCTACCCCATCAATATGAGGAATGACGGTGTATAAATTCGAGACATCCATGGTAATGAAGACCGGCACTGTATCCTGAAATTCCAAAGACTTGATGCTATGTAACAAGGTCTGCGTGTCTTTCACACCTGTGTATAATGCCTCTACTGGTTCCTTACAAATAAAATCGAGCCACTGTGCGATGGGTTCCAGTATACCATCTATGGTTGAGACTATTGGTCTCCCAGGAGGTCTATTGGCATTCTTGTGTATCTTAGGGATACTGTATATCACCGGAGTGCCGGGGGTAAGGTTTATTCAAAAAATGATAGTTCTGTGTCAGTGTAACCAGCTCTTAAAGCCATGTCCAATATGTCTACTATTTTCCTTTGTATTCCAAGTGTGGGATCACCCTGTAATAAAAGATATGTCTTTTCATCCCGTAGCTGTGTTTTTAAATCCTCAGAAATAATCACTATAGTCCATCAGGACTATACCACCACCCTTGTCCGCTGATCGGATCACTATGGTGTTGTCTCTTGCCAAGTCCCTTAGTAGATTTCGTTCCTGTTTAGTGATATTATGATGTTTAATATCCTGTTCAAAAATGTCTTGAGTCATCCTAGCTGTAGAGGATAAAGTTTTGATAGTATGTTTAGTACTGTGTGTGTCAAATGTCGATTTGGTCTTAAATCTACCAGTTCCCCTATCCACTGATGATGATTTCTCTTTGACATTATTGAGAAAGTATTCCTTCAATCTCATATGTCTTACAAATTGAAATAATTTAGTGCTCCATTTAAATGGATTAGGGCCACTTGTAGGAATAAAAGAAAGTCCTTTGCTGAGAATGGTCATTTCAATGGTACTGAGCTGTCTGTGTGAGAGGTTGAAGATGGGAGTTATCTCCTGAATGGTGGTTTGCCCTTGGGTGCCATTTTTGGCCTTACGGCTTCTCCTGATCCTATGTCGTCTTCGCCTCTGTGTTTGCTCCTGGTCACAGTACCCATCTCTGCTGTGCCTAAAAAAGGAGTTGTATCTGATGGAATGTCACTTTCGGAAGCTGTGACGAGACCAATCTCGCCACATTTCATTGGAGAAGCCTGGTTGCTCGCCTGCTGCCTTTGGACTATGGCCCCCTGTTAAAAGACATCTTGTTTTACCTGCAGAAAAGCTTCATTCGTGCTTTTCTGCCTGGGGTTCGGTAGATTTGTTTGAATGTGTTACACCCCAGATAGGAATCCCATGGAGCCCATTCGTATGAAACTGACTGTAAAGACTTTGGCTCCATGGCGATTAAACTGTATCCGTGTGGTCTGAGCGCCATTCGCTTAATAATGTGTGCTCGGACCTGAGCTATCTGGGGATTTGTTACATGTCTGTGTTTTATGTAATAAATGTGACTTTATGTATTTTAAAGTGTTTTGTGTCTTTTTGCAACCATGTGCTTAATGGAGTCTTGTGTCTGTCCTGGGAGATAATTGAATTACTCTCCAGGATAGAAGACTCTGAAACTGGTTTGGGCCAGAAAGCCATGCTTCATTTAGTCACAAAGGACTTTTTACTAACTTTTGAACCCCTTGTCTGATTTGTGCCATTTTTTAATATGTTGCTCCCCTGAATGGATTGATTCCAAATATGTAATTTTATGTGAATGTGATGTATGGTTTTAGAGTTATGAAAGTTGGGTAGAAAGTATGTTTTAACTGTATGTGTAATTGAGTTTCCTCTCAGGATAAGGGGAGGGAATATGTGGGATGTAACTGTGATGTGATTGGTTGTTTTATACCTCCCTGTGGGCGGTCCTGTATTTGCAAGACTGTAATAAAAACCAGGCTGGGTGTGCCAGCACCTCAGACCACTGCTTGACCCTCAACACGGAGCCTTGTCTCGTTCTTGGGGGGATTCACTGTATGCTGTTAGAGACTGATTGCCAGGAGTGTAAGCTGTTCGTCTGCTTTTCCTGTTCGTCTGCTAGCAGCTATTTGGGAGGTTCCAGTTCGGGAGTTGGAGTGCTATTTTGTATCCAGTTCCGGAGTTTGGTGTTCTGCAGTAGCTGTGCCTGTATCTCTGGAAAGGGGGCCGATCGCCTAAACGGTTTTTTCCCCTTTTGTGCAAAACGGTCCGTTACAGAAGCTGACTCTCCCGATGTTACATCTACCATTGGTATATTCGGACGTACCACCTTGTTCCTGAATCTTCTCGGCCTACGGGGATGGTCACCAGATAACCACCTGTACACAAGATGATCGTGATAATCTTGTTGTACCCTCTCGTACTTCTGTTTTATATATATATAGTGTCTCTCTCTCTCTCTCTCTCATATATATATATATATATATATATATATATATATCTATATCTAATTACACAAGATCCAGCGCACTCACCTATCCACTAAACGGCAACTTCAATGTTGAAAGATTTTATTCGTTTTTTTTTTAAAAACCCTAATCTAGGCAAAAATAATGGGGGTTTAGTTACGTTATATGATCATACATTGCATAAGCCTGCCACAACGTCAATGTACCCCATCTTTGGCAGGTCCTACACTAACAGCCTAATGTCTGCTCTTATGAGATTAACCACTTACTTGAGGAAAAAATCCATCTGGGGCTCTCTGCAGTACAAGGCTAATAAAATCTTTCAACATTGAAGTTGCTGTTTAGTGGATAGGTGAGTGCGCTGGATCTTGTGTGTTGTGTGTATATATATATATATATATATATATATATATATATATATATATATAACATACAGGGTTTCCTTGCACTCACGCTTGTAGACAGTTGTAAGCCGGGTGCTTGTAATCCAGGGAAAAATTGCATATGGTGAAGTAGTGATCAGCACTCTCGGACTTTTGTTGAGTTTAAAACTTACAGTTTATTGAAATTCCATTTAAAAGATCAACGTTTCAGTTCCTATCTGGAACTTTCATCAGGATCAAACATATAAAACATATAAAACAATGCAAAACATTGTTTTGCATTGTTTTATATGTTTGATCCTGATGAAAGTTCAAGATAGGAACTGAAACGTTGATCTTTTAAATGGAATTTCAATAAACTGTAAGATGTTTATATATATAAACATCCAAGATCTGGCACTCTGCCCACAAGGTATTAAGAAATTATGAACACCAAGGTGCTTCTCAAAATCAATATAGAAAATACAAAAAACGAGAGCACTCACTGGATTTGGTACAAAAATGCTTATATTAAATTAAATGAACATACCAATCGACGTTTCGACCGTCTCGCGGTCTTTATCAAGATGTCCCCACAGTGTGACAAACAATCATTATATAGCCGTGAATCTAGTAAACTTACCCAATAATCAAAGTGATCATCTAGCGATGCAAAACCGCCCTGTGATAGACGCCCACTGGCGCCCGCCATTACGTGCGTAATGACGTCGTATCATGTGACCTAAGCAAACCGGGTTGCCTAGTAACAATCCCAGCGTGCATAACATAACAATAAAAACATACAGGGAGGATCTATAGCAGTATAACAGCATTAATTCAAATGGCAACAATGTATAAAACACACAGTTGACAACATTCTATCTGAATACATTTTCTAGTAGCTGATTCCTGGATAAAAGAGCAGAATCACAAAAACGGAATAACGATCATTAATCCATTAAGAATATACACACATGAAACTATGCATACATATAGAAAAGGAAGAATCTTAGTAAAATAAATCAGTATAAAATGCCAAGACATTCCCAAAGGAGTCAAATTACAAAATCACCTCACTGTGTGTGAGCTCTATTGCAATGAGAAACTGCTCTATAACCATTGTGTTGTATAATATGAAATATGCACAGGCTAAACCATAAATTGCAAATTTTAATTGCACAAACTTAGTGATGCAGACCTAAATGGGGTTCATCTCTATAACTCTTAATGAATGAAATATCTCAACAAGGTGCTATAACTACCAACAGAGGTACTATATGTGTCATGTGTAAAATAGTAATGTCATGGAAAAAAAGATCTAAAGGATAATGTGTGTGTGTGTGTAATGTGAAACTATAGTAAGATGTAATGTGTGAAGTAATGTGTAATGTGAAATAAATAGTGAAAAACAGTCAACATAAAAATAAAAGAAACAACCAACAATGTAAGTATGTGTGCTACTGATGATGTATAATACCATCATCATCAATAAGAGTATTCTATATATATAACAAGGGGGGGCTGGCTGCACTCACCTGAACATGCATAAATCAATATCTCTCTCTCTCTCCCTCCCTCTCTCTCTCTCTCTCTCTCTCTCTCTCTCTCTATATATATATATCTATATATCTATATATATATCTATCTCTCTATCTCTCTCTCTATATATATTATATTTGTGTTAGGTGCTTAAGATAGTACAGTATGAAATACCATGAATAAGCGTAGGATGATAAAAGGAGCAAGTCGGTTGTGGTGTGCCGAAACCGACGATGAGGTAGGCCTGAGAAAGAAGAGGGCCCACCCAGGAAAAGAAATAGAAAGGAAATAAATGTAAAAAGTGGTGTGGTGGGAGGGTCATTCAACGCTGACCTCGAACGGTAAGGAGCAAGGTAAGGGGAGTGCCTTAAGTAGGCTAGGGGTAGCAAACCAGCACCTCCCACAAATGCAGGCAAATTGCCTTAATACATATATATATATATATATATATATATATATATATATATATATATATATATATATATATATATATATATATATATATATATAGAGAGAGAGAGGGAGGGGGGGGAGAGAGAGGGAGGGGGGGGGAGAGAGGGGGAGAGATATATGGAAGGCAGGGCCTGAAGTTGTGGGAAGGGCTTGGTTCCCCTTCTTAAGGAGCACAAGCCTTTCCCTCAGTACCATCTTAGGTCTGGAGATTGCGTGTGGTTGTCACTTCCGGTCCGGCCAAACAGCTGTCTCTCATTCTTCAGCTCGTGGTGAGGCTTCCTGGAGGATAAAACTGCTCCCAGCGCGGCTGTCTGACTCTGCAGGCAGACACACGAGATCCGGCTTCCAGGCTCACAGCCTGTCAAAAAAATTTGAGTTCCGGCCGTCGCGCTAATGGGTCGACGGGCGCACATTACCATGCATTCGGTAAAACGTGGTTCGAATTCGTGGGATTAGTCGGTTATCCTTTAGATTCTAAGTACGGCTTGATTTTCCGTTCGTTTGCCGAACACTATATTGTTTTATTGATTGATTTCAGTTAGGGCGACCTCGGGCGGCTGAATTGGTTATAGCAGTTGTAGTTACATTATTGTGTTATTTTTACTGACCCCTGGTGGTCATAATAGTTATTACTCCTGGGATTTTTTTTTTTTTTCTTCACATAGGGATAAGGATAGTTAATAGTGGAAAATAGGGGTTCTGGTAGGGTCGTATGGCTTGTTAAATTCGGGGCACTCATGAGATATGTTGAAATTGTGAATAATTCTACAGAGGGTTACTAGAGAGGGAATAATTTTCTATACACATTTTTACCTTTCAAACTCTCAGGGTCCAAACACGTACACTATAGGTACCACAGATAAGAGTATCATATGTCTCCAATTTTTATATAACATATATAATTAGGTGCTAAGGAATCTATTGTATGTCAGTAATGTTGGACCTTTTTTCAGTTTCAACAGCGTCCACATTGTGCGGCTACTATTCTAACTTTTCACGTCATATAGGTCAGTATTCTTTAGTTATCCTCTTATCGTCCCACAAGTACCATCCTTACTCCTTGGTTCCAGTCCCCTACGATTGCAATATATCGGTAGGTATCCGGTTAGCAGGGGGGTAGGAGGGTTGCATATTATCATAAACCCAGAAACTCACTATTATTTTATAGTTTACTACAGAACGCCTGTTTTACCTCTCACTACTACCTTGAAATTTGCTCAGCAGGTACGTCATGATTTCTCACTTTTCCCGTCCTTCCTACCCTTTGGGGTTGTAGTACAGGGCCATACTGGCATTTAAGAACAGGAGCCTCTAGGTAAGTTTTCCAGCCTTCTAAGCCTTCTGGTGCCGCGAGGCCAACACCCATCCTCATTTCGGAGGTACGACATTCCATTGGGCCAATTCATAGGTAGCCGCCTCGCTTGGTTGCATAGAGAGGGCCTCATTTGTCACTCCCATTCTGTCTTATGCCTTTACAAGTCACAGAGAGGCCGACACCCTGCCATAATGTCAATGGCCACGTACCCCACACGAGCCAAATCATAGATAGTGCCTCTCAAAGCCGCTTGGCAACTAGCAGGGCCCCACCCGTCACGTTATTTTATAATAGTTTCGCCACTTGGCATTAGTTACATCAGCCAGTCGGGTAGTGCCCCAGGTAACATGTTATTTTGTTTTGTAGCATGTCACAACTACCTGAAGGCGGGGAAGATGTGTCCATTCCCAGTACACCGGCTAGATCAGTCACTCCTTCTCGTGGTGACGACACAGCAAGCCCTGCATCACTCAGGGCATGGACCATTCCTAGGATCACCGCCGAACTGAGGAAAAGGAACATTCCCTTCCCTGCTACGGCTAACAAAGCCAAATTATACAGACTGTTGAATACTCGGACTGATAATTCGGGGGCGGGGAAGGTTCTAGTGGTAGCCAGTTGACTGATCTACATAATGTGTTATCTTCAGTCCTGACTTAATTGGGCCGTATTACGGCCAGACTTGATATGATGGATGCAGATAGCATCCTCAGAACTAGGGCATCCGGTCGCTATGGTTCGCCCAGATCACCTAACGTGTAATGTTCCAACGGGTATGAAAGACCCGCATATTATTAATCCGGCACACATGGTGCCTGCTAGTATCAAGAAGGACATCTTGGAAGGGAAGGATATCAATCTAGTATCACTTCTCATTGCTTCTCAAGATGTCCTTGAAAATAGAACTTATGCATATGGGGACGTGCCTGTAGTGTTAAAATCGAGGGACCCTAGATTGAATCGGAAGCTATCCATACCCAAATTTGTGTTGACGTTTGGGATATATAGAGACGTGATATGCTCCGTATATCCTGATAGGAGGGAAGAGTTTGATCTATATCTCCACAAGCTGGTGGATTTGGGGCACAAGTACGGTGGCACGTCTTTTTACGACTACCACCGTGCTTTTTCCGCAAACGCATCGGCTGCACTGTCCCAGTTTAATCATCAAGCGGATTGGGGGGTGCTTGAAACGCAGCTTTTTTGCCGACACTTTGCGGGCCTAAAAACCCCAGCTTGTGCCATTTGTGCGTCCAACTCACACACAGCAAATTTGTGTCCTAACTCCCCAGAGGTGAATGCTCTATTTCCCCCTACAAATATGATGCCCACTGGGAGAACAGACAGGGTACTGAAGGATAAACTGGGACGTGATATTGTGTTTTTGGGGAAATCTCAAATTTGTAATAATTTTAACACAGGCACTTGCTTGCAGACTATTGCATGTCTGCTCCCAATGCTTCAGGGCTCACTATAAGGTCATGTGTCCGAATAAATTATATCCCAAGCAGTACCTTTCGTCTCTTAATGTCTCACTATTGAAATAGTTATTGTGTGATCACCCATCGCAACATCTCGTAGATTTTCTGGTGGCAGGGTTCACTTTGGGGTTTCACACTGGTATTGTGCACATGCCTACTGGGATCCTAGAATGTAAGAACTTGCAGACTGCACAAGCAGCGCCCGACACAATTGACCTACTTCTACAGAAAGAAATTGACCAGGGGTTTCTAATTGACCCTTTCGACTCCCCGCCTTTCGCGGTTTGGAGAACCAACCCCATAGGACTTGTAACAAGTAAATCCTCCAATAAGCAAAGGTTGAATCTGGACCTCTCTGCTCCCCACTCGTCACCTACCCCAAGTCTTAACTCACTTATACTATCTCAGGAATTTTCTCTCCAGTATGCAACCATAGATCATGCCGTCACGGCCATCCTCTCGGCGGGAGTGGGGGCATGGCTGAATAAAACGGACATAGTGAACGCATTTAAGTTACTCCCTATCCATCCGTCCCTATGGCATTTACATGGTGTTAAGTGGCATGATTCATATGATTTTTTTCACGCGTCTCACATTTGGGTCCAAGAGCAGCCCCAGGATATATTTGCTGAGACGTTGTGCTGGATGCTGCATAACATATGTAAATGCCCTACCGTTATCCATTATCTGGATGATTTTTTATCCGTAGAAAGCAACCTTCTACCTCCCAGTAATCTCCTTTCTACCAAACGACTGTTCTCACAACTTGGAGTACCTATTTCACCCACAAAGACTGAAGGTCCCGATACAATCATTAACTTCTTGGGGGTGGTACTGGACTCCGTGCATATGCAGGCTAGCCTCCCCGGGGAAAAGATTGAATGCATTCTTTCTGCCATTGACCATTACCTAGCAGGTGGGTCTTGCAATAGAAAGGAGTTGCAACGGAAAGCCAATAAAGGGACTAAAAGAGAGGAGGGAGGCGTGGGAGGTGCGAGCGGACAGGAAGTAAATGTCAGTGTACTCATTACTATCTTCCTGTTGCACTTTGTAACATACAATCTGCACTATCAGGGCCGGATTAACATAGGGGCTGATGGAGCTGCAGCTCCAGGCCCAGGCCCATGGAATAGGCCCATTTAAAATAATAATAAATAAATAAAAAAAATAATTTTTTTTTAATTTTTTTATTTTTTTACACACTACTCTTAGGTTTGCCACCTGACTGGTATTTTAAGGCACAGCTGGTATTTGAGGCTGCCTGGCTGTGACGGTATTGCAGTAATACTGGCAATACAAATGCAAATATTAGTCTCAGTATAAACGGAGATTACTCTGCAATACCAGCACCGGCCAGTAGGGGTCACTGTGTGTGGAGAGAGGCAAGCATAGGAAGTTACAGAATATCCCTACCTCTCTCTACTACTCACTGATCCGTGGGGGAGCAACTACACAGCGCAGACAGTCCAGACAGCAGCTCTACAGCTCAGGTAAGTGAGGGATGGGGGAAAGGCAGCAGGGACACATGGGGACACTGAGACACTAGGGGACATATGGGGACACTGAGACACTAGGGGACACAGACACTAGGGGACACACGATGACACATACACTAGGGAACACTGAGACACTAGGACACAGACACTGGGAGACCTGGGAACACTGACACTTGGGGATACTGGAAAATATGGGGACACTGAGACACTTGGGGACATGGGGACACAGACACTAGGGGACACAGATACCAGGGGACACATGGGAACACAGACACTAGGGGACACAGACACTAGGACACATGGGGACACAGACACTGTGAGACCTGGGGACACTGGAAAACATGGGGACACTGAGACACTAGGGACACATGGGGATGCTGAGACACATGGGGATGCTGTGAGACATAGGGACATTTGGAGACATTGGGACACGGAGACACTATGTCCCCCAGCCAGTGTCCCTAGGATCTCAGTGTCCCCAAGTCTCCCAGTGTCTGTGTCCCATGTCTCTCAGTGTGCCTAGTGTCCCCATGTGTCCCAATGTCCCCATGTCTATGTCCACAACTGTCCCCATGTCTGCCCAAGTGTCTGTTTCCCAGCCAGTGTCCCCTAGTATCCCAGTATCCCCTAGTCTCACAGTGTCTGTGTCCCTAGTGTCTTAGTGTCCCCAAATGTTTCAGTGTCTCCATGTCTCCCAGTGTCTGTGTTCCTAGTGTCTCAGTGTGCCTGGTGTCCCCATGTCTCCCAGTGTCCCTATATGTCCCAGTGTCCACATGTCTATGTCCACAACTGTCCCCATGTCTCCCAGTGTCCCCAAGTGTCTGTCTCCCAGCCAGTGTCTCCTAGTCTCCCAATGTCTGTGTTCCCATGTCTGTGTCCCTAGTGTCTTAGTGTCCCCAAATGTTTCAGTGTCCCCATGTCTCCCAGTGTCTGTGTCCCTAGTGTCTCAGTGTCCCCATTTCTCCCAGTTTCCCTAAATGTCTCAGTGTCCCCATGTCTCCCAGTGTCCCCATGTCTCTGTGTCCCCGGGTCTCTCAGTGTCCCCATGTCTCTCAGTGTCCCCAGTATCCTAGTGACATGGGAATGGGGACACAGACACTGGGAGACTAGGGGACTGGGCGAGATGGGGACACTGACACTGTGATACATAGGGACACTGAGACACAGGGTGACTTGCAAGACTGAGACACTGGGAGACAGTGAGACACTGGGAGCAATCCATCTATACAGCAGAATCAAACTGTGAGTAGTTTGTTGGTGATTTTACTGAATTTTCTCTGATGTCACTCCTTGTGATTTACACGCATAACTAATTAATTATGCAAATGATTAAGGCTGGTATTTTTTTCCAAGAAAGGTGGCAACCTTAACTACTCTTCACATACTCTTGCTTAAAGGAGCATTATAGTGTCAGGAACACAATCATGTATTTCTTACCCTATTATGTTAAAACCACTACCCTGGCCCCTTCTTGCCTCCCTAAATATAGTAAAATATTACTTGTATTCAATTCTGCAGCTGCTGGCTCAGAAGTGGTGGTCTGAGCAAATTACAATACTTCCCCATAGGATTGGCTGAGACTGTCAACTAGGCAGATCAGGGGCAGAGCCAGCACAAGTCCAACATAGCCCTGGCCAATCAGCATTTCCTCATAAAGATAAATTGAATCAATGCATCTCTATGAGGAAAGTTCAGTGTCTGCATGCAGAGGGTGGAGACACTGAATGGCAATGCTGCACACTAGGCAGTACAGACCCAGGAAGCACCTCTAGCAGCCATCTAATGAGCGGCCAGTGGAGTTATTTTCTCTGAAAAGACAGTGTTTACTGCAAAAAGCCTGAATGGAATGATTCTACTTACCAGAACAAATACAATAAGCTGTAGTTGTTCTGGTGACTATAGTGTCCCTTTAAGTTTGGAAGCTTAAGAGGGATATATGGGAACAAAACTTGTGTGCACTGGCTGACATTAAAGTTAGTTTAGGTAATGCAGACGTTGGTCTCTCTAACACTGTGGCATGTCCCCTTTCTTCTACACTCACTACAGACACCTTTTCTCTGTCTCAGACTATACCAGGAACTTCTGCCTGCTAGTAAGAAAGTAAGGAGACAAGTGGACCAGCGAGTGCTAGGGGACAGTCCTTAGAAAGCATGGAATGAGCGCATCATTAGATGCATGTATGTCAAGCTCAAGGTGCTGCCTGCATTGTATGCCCTTAGTTGGACAGCCTGCAGGATTGGCAGGCAGCCTGACATGCATTCATGCCAGGCTGACCTTCCAATTCTTTGGACAAACATGCCCCCTTTTTGGGCATGTTCACCCCTTTTGGCAGGTCTTGTCACATGATTTGCGCCAGTGGCACACCCTTTTACCCCGCCCATTGACTTCCTGCTTCACTGGACACTGCTGTTAGGGGGTATGGATTTACTTGAAAGATGAAAGCATAAATTAGAGAGAAATTAGCATAGAGTATGTGTTTTCTTATAGCTGCATCCTATGAGTTTCCATCCAGCACCATCTCCATCAGATACATGACGCTTGGGAGGTATGATTGTTTTAGTGTTTTTGGTCGATAAGATTCCGTAATTAGGCCCATCATAATTGTCAGCACCAGGCCCACTATGCTCTTAATCCGGCCCTGTGCACTATATATTGTTTTGTTCTTATTTATTTTACATATATTGTGGATTTTAATCCCTGTGAATATGTACAAGAGGGTAAGATATTACCCTTTTGTTTTTGGTCAGCACTCTATTTTTGCTTATGTTTTTCAATTTATAATCCACTTTTACACTTATAATCTGTATTTTTTTGACTTTCTAATGACAATTTATGCAGCTAAAATCTAATTTAGGACTAGAACAATGTATCTAATTTGCAAAGTATAATGTCTAAATACACGTGTTGTAGTAGTAGTAGTAGTAGTAGTAGTAGTAGTAGCTCTGTTATAGACAAACATATGTCAAAAATATGGAGCTGGATATGTCCAGTGTAAGATAAGGTGTAACTGATGAGAAACATTACAGAAGTTTACAAAAACAACAAGAAAAAAAAACATATACATAAGACACAGAAAACTTTAGTTTT